TTTCCACACTGCATCACCTGCAGGAAGGTGACAGTGGAGAAACTACATTTATGTAATAAATTAAATGCGAGAAACAATCCACGTGGCCAGTTTGTTCAACTGATCCGGAGAGCTCTCTGCAAGGTAAGAAGAGCAGTAACATGTGCTGCCCCAAGAAAACTGCTGATGCTCTTTAGTGTTCCTGAGCCACCGTGAAATCGCACACAGGGGGCTTTTAAATAAGCACTCATGCAGCATCACTCCTGGCTGCAAGCTCATTCCTCTTCCAGCAGTACTGCAGTGTACTCCTTGGGGGCTGTTAGCTGTGAGGTGACTGGAGGAACAAATGGTAAATATCTAGAGTGAATGGGATATTCCCTCCCTGAAGAGAGACGTTTTAAGTGTTAACTAATAATTTTTAAAATACTTTGGTGAAAATATCCGACATGTTTAGTTTTATTTTCACTGATCCATTTGGAATAATTAAATCCATAAGACTTCAGAAAGAGAATTATTGTCACAGCCTCACAGCACCAATTTATTACCCAGAGTAATAACCTTGGCCAAAATGCCTATTTCAGTTCTTGAATAAGGGCTTGGTTCACATGTCCAATGCCCTGTGTAAGAGAATTAGCAGAAACTCATCTCAGTGTGGTTTCAAAAGAGGAAACTAAGCAGACAGCCTTGTTAATTTAGCATATAGACTTGGAATAAAGCACAGCATCCATCATCTCTTGAAATTCAATTAAAAATTGGTCTTGTGTCCAAGGAGAAGGAGCCAATTTTCTGCTGGAAGCAGAGCCTTGGAAGATCACTAAAACCCTTAATGGTTCTTTCATTGTGGGAGCCAACATGAAAGGAAACCAGTTTGGAAGTTCAGATTACCCCTCCCATTACGAGCCAGAGCCTGTACAGGCGGGGACCTGGCTGCTGGTGATGCTCCCTGCCTGCACAGATACAGAGCTCCGGCTCCCTCTTCCTCCAGGCCCTCCCACTGCCGTGGTTGAGGCCACACTGCCTGGCTCCATGCACCGCACTGCAGCCCGTGTCCTCCTGCTGCCACGGTGGTAAAAAGATGCTCGCAAACATGCGCTGAGATTTAATACCTCGAGAAAGGGAAGCCTGAAAATATGTTAACAAGATTTTCAGCATTAAACACAATTTTGTTTCAGATTTCAGCTGTTAAACATCTTAATTTGTTTTGCTTTTTGCTCCAGTACCATAATGCTAATAAACTCTGACAGCCTGTGACTCTGCAATGAGGAGGTTTCTCAAACCAATCTCTTTACTTGAAATCTGATTTACAAAGCCTCAGTCCTTCAGCTGGATGGCAGTGGTTGCATCGATGGCTCGACACAAGAGCACACGTTGAGCGTCTTAGGGGAGGGACATCTTTTGCTTGTGTGCTTGTTTTTTTCTAGTGGAGCTAGAGGATTTGCTGAGATGAACTAATTTTCTTAACCCTATGGTATCCTCCTGTCAATAAACCCCTTCTAATAATTGCTGTCATGCTGTGTTTGCCACACTCCAAAAGAAATAGTGGATATTCTTCTGGAACAAGCATAGGACTCTTGGTACACAATATAGATAGCATCCATGCAGTTTATTTTTAGGTTATATCATGCTTTTTATGTTTTTTCTATTTTTGCTTAATTCAAAAAGCTTCTTGACCCCTATGTTCTCATCTCAGCCCTGCCTTGGTTGGCTTCTCCTTGCTACTGATAGGTCAGACTGCTTGCTGGCCAACTCTGAGACACCAGGGTCATCTGCTCCAGCTGTGGACCAGCCCCAGCCTCACATGTGTCATCATCTTCCTGGGAAAGCAGGGATTTGTCCTGTGAGAAGTGCATGTGATGGCATATCACAGGATGGCTGAGGTGGAAAGGGACCTTTGGGTCTATCTGGCCCAACTCCTGCTCTAGCAGGCACACCCAGGGCAGTGTGCCTAGACACATGTCCAGGTGGCTTTTAGAGATCTCCAAGGATGGAGATATTATATCAGAAAACCCTGCAAAGCAAGCATCAACAATAACAAACATAAACATCTGCTCTCCAAGGTGTTCATTCAGACTGCTGACTGCTTTTGACTCCTTGCAGAAGAGGCTGGGTACTCAGGTATTGTGGTACTTGAAATTGTTCAGAATCTTGTCCGAATTGTGTTGGCTTACTGCAGCACAAAGGAAACAACTGATATTGTATTCAGGCTGCTGCTCACTGTCAAAATGGGGACAACTGTTAAAACTGCAAACCAGTGGAAGGAGGTTGTAGGATTTATTTTCTTTCCATGATAAAAGGTGTGAGGGCAGACAGCGGAGAAATGCATCTTACCATGTTGTCCTTGCTAGCCACAGGGATCTAATAAAAATTATCAATGCAGCATGCACGCAGCTTTGCCATACTGGGGCTGCTTCAGTTATTGATACGGTCCTGCAGGAGGTCCCACTGCAGGCAGTGGCTGCTTGCAGCTCTCCAAAGCCCATCAGGCAGATGCCATACTTACTGATGGCCCTTTTTCCTTACTGGGGCTCGACAGCAATAAGGTGAAAAATGTTGCATTGATAAATTGGGAAGAATTGCTGCCCTAATAGCAGAATGCCTGGCATCTGAGGGGAGGTTGGTGACTGGTCCAGGCTTCTTCCTCCCCTCCACCTCCCACCGCCATCAGCACAGCATCCCCAGCGCTCTGCCTTTGCCTCACCAAGCATCCATCAGGAGTTCATCATCTGAAGAGATGATGCAAGTCCTACAAGCGGAACTACAAGCATCCCGAGGAGTACTTCCAAGTATATATTCTATGATGTCTCACATTCACACAAATATACATCCTTTAGGAGATTAATGATGCTGTGAGGCAGCAGTCTATGCGCCATGCCCTGCTGAGCATGACATCCCACCCTCAGGTGCTAGGTACACGCAGGTACTTGTTTTCTGTTGCAAAAGACTTCTCCCGGCAGAAACACTCATGCTCTCTCAGATAGAGTTAATACAGAAAATTTTCTTGTTTGCGGAGAATGCTGATCTTCATAATTTACACCACCGGACCTCTAAAGGACTAGCATGATGGCTCATTTCTGGTGATTCTGAAACTCCCATAGTTCCCAGAGAGGTGGATGGCATATCTCTGACCCCATGCTTGTCACTGAAGCAGTGTGTTATCCATAATCAGAAGTGACAGAGAAAAGGAATTTTTTCAAATCTTATTTTCTGCTTTCTGTTGACAAATCTTATTGTTCAAGGAAAGATTAGCATTTCTATTATTTTTTTCTTTAATTTCTACAGACATGCAACCAGCCCCAGCACATTTTAAGCAGCATGTGACCTGCTTAGAGCCATGGGTCTGCGAACCATGGATGCAGCATTAGCTAGGAGAATCTGCAGTGCCTCATATGTGACGAAGCAGATGGACTCTACGGATGAGTTAGCAGTGACTCATCACATTGTTTCCAAAGATGGATTATTTTCACCCGAAATGGTTTAAAAACCCATATGCTTTGGAGAGGATAGCTCCAGTTTGGAGAGGAGGGCTCCAATGTCTCCTCCAGCAGAGTGCAGGGGCTTTGCAGCAGAGCAGCAGCAGCAGCGAGGCAAGCATCCAACCTCCTTGCTTCATTCATGTTATATGTTATGAAACAAATGACCAAGAAAAGTGAAAATCCCCAGCTTGCAGCCCTGCAGCACACTGTGAGGACAGTCACAACCCAGCCGTGCCTCCTATCTCTGTTTTGGGCTCTTACTGCTCTCAAAACTTGAGTGGTTTCCAGTTTAGTCATTTCCCCTTATCAGGAAATTCAGATGAAATTACATTCCTACCGGAGGCTTTTAGTAGTGTAGCAGAGCCCTATTCAGCCTTAAAGGAGATGCATTTTTCTGGCACCTGCTTTTCAACCAGGGGGAGGGTGACCTGATTGGTCTCAGTGCCCACAGCCCTTCCTATCCTCATTCTGGACATGTCCCTGAGATGGAGCTGTTGTCACCTTGCACTGCTGCCACACAGCCCCCAGGAGAGCAGAGAAGAGTGATTGCTCTCCCCAGATTCATTGAGCACCATCTCTAACCACTGCCTGCTGTCAGGAAGGAGACCATTTGACCACATATCTCACTTTGCTAAATCAGGCAGCCAGAGCTGCACCTACAGCTGATTGTCACAGAGCTGAAATCAGGCAGCAACCACTATCCCCCGTGAACAGTCACCAAAGCTGTGCCCCGCAGCCCCAGTGCCAGCCCCCACCCCAACCTCAGGGCACCTGCACCCACAGCCCCCTCCCACCACCTGGCCCTCAGCTATGCAGAAATGGTGCAGCTCCATTAAGGCAGCTGGGATCCAGGCACCAGGATAAAAATCTACTTTTGGAAACAATCAAATTGTCCATGCTTCCCTGTGACTCATCTGACAGCTGAGATGTGCTTCTGGCATAAAACCAAACCCTCCATCCAGAGTGCCCAGATAAAAGGAAGAGAAAGAGGCTCAGAACTTGGTATGAGTGTTCTGCTGGATACTGCTGAAGTAACCACAGACTGATTGGGATCCACGAATTAGCACATGCACAGCCAAGCACAAACTCTTAGAAATACCTAGAAACAATTACCCAAGCACAAGTTCAGTTCTGCAAACCTAAAGTGTTTTATTGAGCCATCATCTGAACCACAGCCCACTGCCATTGGTGAAAAGCCTTCAGAGGCGTTGGGTTCAACTCACAGCTACAACAGCCACAGGAAGCCATCTGTGCTTTCTATTTCCCACATCAGGCACATGTATACTTCTACATATCCTGGAGTGGCAGCCCTGGAGCTGTGTCCTTCCCCTGTGTGCCTCCTTTCCTATCCCACTCCACTTCTGGGAGGCTCAGCCTACACCAACCATGTGGCTGCTTTTTACTTAGGGATGCTCACACCCCACAGTCCCATTTGACAAATACACCACACACAGCATGGCAAGTTAGTTAAAAGAAGTAAAGTGACACCACCAAAGGTAATCAACATTTTATTTATAAACATACATTTACTATAAAAGCTGTTGCATTTTAGACAATTTTTTCCCAATTTCCAGAGGCATTTTAGAATAAATAAAAAGAAGGAAAGATAAGTGTAAATGGTATTCAACATCAGCACAGCAAGGACAGCAATCCCTGCCCTGTCTGGACACGCACGTAGGATGGTCCCCTCCAGTGCACTGACCTTTGGGACACTGATTGGAAACTACAGATGTGCAGTGTCAGTAACACTACGCAGCAAAGTAAGGAAAAACACACCACGGGGAGAGGGGCAGTGGGACACAGATGGGCTATGACACCTGGTCAGGTTTTCTGGAGTAATGAGAGGCTAAATAAGTTTTGAAACATTTAAAGCCCATTACATACGTTGTACGTGCTTAGCAATAATAAATCCTTTTTGCAACAAATGCATTTACATTGTAATTCAACTGTTGTGAAGCGTTATTTTCTTTCTGTGCTTAAAGTTCCTGATAAGAAATGTATCATAGTCGTGTGTTGAAACAGGAAAGAATGGAAATAAAAGAAATAAGCCTGAATGAATTTGCCATGCAAGATTCCAAAGGAAATACAAATCAAATGTAAGCTGTTGGTAAGTATGATTTAGAAAACTGTTGAAAATTATTCTGTGCTGGTGAACAGATGCTCACTAGGGGAAAATCTGAAGCCTAAGGACTCTGTTGCTTCTTTTTGCTTTACATACCATCATATTCATGACAGCATGCACATCTGACACTATGGACAGACATGGGATAAGCTGAGCAGCCCAGAGACACTGTGCCCAATCCCTGCTCATGCATTTCAGTCCCATGCATGCTCCAGACAGCTGGGGCTCTCCTCATAAGGTTAAGGATAAGCACACCCCATCTGTGACACCAGCTCTCCTGCACACCTACACTACAGCACGGGGGGAAGCGGTGACTGGGACCAAACAGACACACAAGCATGCATTAAAGGTCTTCTTCAAAACTTAGGCCCAGGCACTGTGTATGTTCACATACCCTTAATGCAGCACATGGAACTGCGCAGATGAATGAAGCAGTTTATAAAATCTGCTTTTTGCATTTTCATGTTATGCATTATCTGCAGGAAAACATTACGCTGACCACATGCAAAGGGTAAACATGCTGGTTATCAAAACCTGCTAACAATAAATCACGCCAAGGGTTAATCAAAATATTGGGCTTCACTGTTCTACTCCCAAAACATTTTTCCGATTTTCAGTTTTTTAAAAATTATTCCCCAGGTGAAGCCCATGAAGGACTTCATGGTTTGGGATATATTGCATCCATGAGTCATCGCTGATGGTGTGCAACAGCTTCATGTTTTCTAAGGCACAGTTTAAGGAAGCGACACTTCCCAGCCCATCGCCACGATGTCCCCAGCTGACAGCACTGTGTGCGTGTTGGCAGCGACACGCGGTTCTCAATCGGTGTGCAACTCACATGCAAGCAGTTGCCTTTGTTTAAACAAATCGTTGTCAGCTATGCTACAACCCCAAATTATTGCTGTCCTAATAACAACTTGATTTCCGTTTCTCAGCAAATCAAAAGCAAATGAATGAGTACGTACATAAATCTCTGTAACTTAATCACAGTTCTAAGGCAGAATAAGTTGATGTTTTTCCTTTTATTTAAGTTGCATTGCAAACAGCTAAAATGGGATACTGCAAATAAGCATTTCCTTTCTATTTTACAGCTGTACCACAACATCATCTAAACTCATCTGTGCGTTCTGACAAGTTCACACAGCTCTGGCTGCTATTTCCACAAGCTGCAGGAACACTTCACAAGGAGCACACACTTCACCAAAAAGCATAAACAAACACTGGAGCAAGCCATTGCCTGTCACTATCAGCTTCCGTGCCCGCGTTCCACGCTCGTCGGTTTTGCTCATTTTGTCTGGGAGGATATATGGAAAACAGAGCTTCACAGCTGTGCAATTCAGTGCTGAACTAATGGAAGGACTCTGGAGAGGGCCAAACACACGCGTATTTCTCCCCATGAGATTTCAACCACGCAAGTGGAACAGCAGACCTCAGAACAACTCAGCCCCTCAGTGGGATGCTGCACAACCAGGAAAGCTTCCCTGTAACCATCGCACTGCAGCTCACAGACCCACAAGACATTGTGTCCGCCCACTCCGCAGCCTCCCCTCACATCACCCCGTCCTTAAACCTCATAGCAACACTGGCTTCTGAACCTGCTGAGGAGGATTGCTCCTGATGGGAACCTTGCAGTCGTTAACGGTATACAGTCTTTAGGTTTAATGAAGAAATCTTTATTTGAGAGAATATCAAGCTATAGTCATGAACATTACTTGAGGTACACAAACAAAAAATCCTATTGCTAAAGGTGCAATAATTTATTTGTATAACTCCTACCCTCTGCTGAAGGTAATATAAACACAAAACGTCTCAGAATTACAGGATGTATTATCAAACTAGTCTCTGTATAAAAAAAGTTATAGCTTCAGTTATAACAGAGCAGTCATGTGCTGTGATGCTTAGTTTTTCAAATGCACTGATTAGATGCTATCTTAAAATTACTTCTCATCTCAACTTGGCATATTCTATAAAGGTTCTGTAAACTCAAAATTTTAATTCCTAGAAATGTTAACACAAAACAGCTTTATTGCATGTTTATTTTCTTATTACTTTCAGGAAAACAAAGTAACAGACTGAAAATCATAAACATACCTGAAAAGGTGGGATTTTGTTGTTGTTGTTATAGTACTTAGGCTTTGCCTTAACAAATACAGTCATACATATTTTGCAAATTTCTTAAGAAAGGGAAAACCAACATATTGCATTTTAAGGGAGCAGGTGCAGCACTTGTATGAGTTTTTCAAAATGAGACGAGAGCCACGATGTCCATGAATTCATGCTCTTACAGATGATTGTCTGGAGGCAGCCGATACATGTGAGAAGAGAGTTCCTTCTTGAAAGTTACTAGCACTGAAAGTCATGTCACAATGTAGTCGGCTGTCCAGCAGCTGGAAAAACAAAACAAAACAAAGTTGTTAGTTTACAAACGTTAACAAACATTCTTCCTGAAGAAAATGGAGTGCCAAGGATTTTCTTCCTTCCATCATTCTATCATTTAAAAAAAAAACCACCTGGAAATATGTGTTGTTTGTGCCCTGATTCTCCTCCTTCCCGCGAAGTTGGGGCACTAAGTGCAAAGAATTCCGTGCCATTTGCGATCTGCGTGCACTTTTATTTCATTTGCTCTGGAAGTACTTGGGGGTACATTTACTTTTAGGCTCTGCAGTGGCAAAACAGTGAAGCAAAGGGCTGATGAGTCATCTTCAGCTGTGCCTGGTTTGTGTTATCTGACAATACAGAGCCCTCGTGTCACTTGGCCACACAGAGAATCTCTTCAATTTGCTGCTTGCCTTTGACTTCAACATCCACAAATCTGTAACTGTTTGTATGTTTATCATTCAATATTGAGCTCCCCTCAGTAATTGCCGTGGGGAGGTTTTGGGGTAGAGATATAATCTACCAAAATCCCTTATCCGTTTTCATTTAGAAAACAGAAATATACCCTGGGCTGCTATAAAATCTTTAATGCATTTTTCTCTAAAGGTGTTTCACGCTTGATTTTGAAAAAAAAAAAAAAAATCACCCCCGGTTTCAAATAAGCAAAATGCTGGCAGTCAAAATATTTCACCGAGATGTCCATAAGCATTTCAGAGCAATACTGATCAACCACGGGTTTGTCAGAGATCACCAGCTGTGTGCACTGCTGTGGCGGCTGAGGGAACAGGCAGAGGAAAGCAACTCATTTTATATTTAGCAGCAAACTCTGTGGAACCAGAAAGCAGCATATGAGCATTGCATCAGTTTGTTCTTCATTTCAGAAGTGGAGTTCATCAAATTTAAGTTAAAATGAGAGAGTAACCATGTTTGCAGGTTCATGACATCAAAGCGCGTCACTCTGAGCTTGTCAACAAGAACCAGTTTTTGAGATTTTGCACGAGGCCCAGACACAGCGCAAAGAGGCAGTCTGCAGGAAAAAAAAAAGACTCCAAACCTTTGCCATTATTATTTTTCAGGAAGTATCCATCTCCACAAAACCTATTCCCACAGTCATCAGCCTGATTTCTCTTCTGTTCAAAACACACAAATGCAAAATCTCCCAGCACAAAACACTGCACATCAGTTCTGTGATGCCTCTTCTAGCAATGCTGCAGTAGAAATGATGATGGAATGATTTCTACAGCATACAGGCTGATATATAATCCTTATGGGACCTCAATTCTTGTTTAAACAAAAAGGATTATGAAGAAAAATATGATTTTTATCACATTCTTCTCTTTTTCGTGTAAATGCAGATGTCTAAATGTGCATTATAAAGATGATGACCTACAGGAGGGAGGTTTATGGTATCAAGACTCAAGGGAAAAACTGTTTCTAAGTGCACTAGGTTAAACTGCTAACACAAAAAATCACTAACATTTCACAGTAGAATTTAAAAAACAACAGGGAAATAATTATACAACAGCACCCCCTAGCCCTGCTGATGGGGAAATGTCGCTGACATGAAATACCTGATAGAAAAAAAATCAAGGTACTTTCCGGACTCCTGGATGTCTACTGCTTTGGAGGGAGAGGAGGAGAAACAGCAGAAATAGGATAAAAGTGCTCTATATCCCTACTCCTCAATTACAGCTGGGCAGCTGTATACATAGAACACTGACAGGTAACAGGAAGGCAATGATTACTCCCATGACTTTTTTCTGTGCCTTCCAAAATGCTCCAGCAATTTGGTAACAAGTCTTAGAAACCCAGGACTAGAAAGAATTTTCAAGTAACTGATTCCAGGACTGAAAAACACATTAAGATTTCTTTGACAGGCAGTAAGCTGTCTCAGTCTTCAATACTTGCAGCAAATTACATGTCTGGGGATCCCACCACAAGGATTAGTTATTAGGAACTATCTGTAACTTCTCATATTTTCCCTCACCTATTTCTCTACAAATAGATGTTTAGAGACATAAAAAAAAAAAAAAAAGGAACTTCACCAAATAAGGTGCAGAGTCCTAGACCTAGTGGAAGTATCTGTGTTGTCTCAGGTGAGGTGACAGATCCAAGCCTCCAGGCATACGTGTGTGTGTGCACAGTATAAAGCTTGTGTTTATGCACTGGAGCGGCCTTTAAGCCTAATATTGCTGGACAGATATCCTCTGGGCAAGATTTACTGGGTTTGAAAGTATTTATGTTACAAGAGGATGTCTAAAATAAGGTTGGGATGTTCCCCTTCCAAAGGCAAAGCTATGCCTGAGTTGCACTTCTTCTAGGAGGAGAAAAGCCCATCAGTTAAAAGTGTGGAAACAGTATTATTAGAATTCACTGTGAAATCAGGAAAAAAAAAATGCACAGAGACTGTAGAACAGGATTTGGTACTTACTTCTGGATCGAATGTAACAATCATTGCAGTTCAGAAGACCATTTCTAATCCTGACATCTGTCCCACTTGCTGCATCTCCCAGCTGTCCCTTGCAAATGCCGCACTGCCAATTGAAGCACAGTAAAGGACAAGAGATCACGTCCTAATGTCTGTCACAGCCCTCCCAACATTTTGATTTTGTTCCAAAAGTTTTGAGAATGGTGGGAAAAAATAACCCCCCCAAAACCCAGCCCATAGTGGAGCACTGTGAAGCCCACTGTGGAGCAGTGCAAACCAGTGACAAGTTTGCTTTAGACCAAATAGTATTTTAGGACTGGACTTCAGCAGTCACCACTCACACAGAAATGAAGTCTAGAAATTTTAAGGGACATCTGATTTTTACGTTGCATTCTGGAGCCAATCTGTGTGCAGGACAAAGCTTAGAAAGGCCAGAGGTTTATTCCAAGTAGATACCTAAAATTAAGGTTTCACGAACAGTTAGTATCAACTGGGATAGAGATAACCCCATGGGACACTTTCTGAGTTATGTAGCTAACACTATCTTGAGTCATTACTTGAGACATAGTCACAAAGTATTTCTGTGAAAATAACTGGAAAGTCATTAGATGCTTCCCTCTGCAAGCAAAGCTAAGTTTACTTACTAAGTGATAGGTTTAATCTAACTAGTATGTCTGACAACAAACACATTAGCTACAGTTAATGCTACTTTCACTTGTCCACAAATAAACAAGTGTAACATGCATGCAGGTCCTCTATTCTCTTTTCCAGTTCCACATCTGTAGACCTCAACACACTCTCTCCTCACACTGAATGATGACTTGAGATTTTGTGCAGGTGGACACAGTAAGAGACATACCCTGAAACACTGAATATGGAAATAAAGACCAAGCGTTTCAATAATCATGGCAGCTCCCTTGCCAAGAGGAAGCCCACAGGTGGAACAAAGCTTCTTTCCGCTGACAGACCTAGGAGACAAACACTGCTTTAAGAAAACGGAACAGAAACTAAAACACAACCAAGTGCTTAAGGAGAGGGACATGATGAGAGGAAGAAGCACTAGGGGCAGGTTCACATCAGAGATGCACATTGACCCCTCAATCATTTAGAATTTTTCTACTGGAAAAAACTATTTAACAGAAGACACACATGCTTCAAAATATTCTTTGAAATAAGGATTCTGACTGAGCTTTGGGACCAAAGCAGGCTTTTGCTGAGTTAGCCTCCACATCTGCCACACAGCCAACCAAGTAGAGGGCTTCAAATGCTTAAGTGTGCAGGAGCTCAAACCCATTTCCCTATAAGCATGCTGTGCTACATCAAGGGAAATGCAAGCCTCTTTGCTTTTATTTTATTTTTTCAGCTTTTTCACACTCAGATAATGCTGGTGTCTTAGCAGGACTCAGTCAATGATGAAGATATCAGAGCAGATACTCACATATATTACCTGACTCAGATTCTCAGCCTGGAATTTTCTCCATTTGTTTACAAATGGGTTTCCTTATGCAAGTCAGAAGGCAGGAATGCTGTCTTACACCTCAACCAGCTGGCTAAGTTAACAGCAGCAGCATAACTGTGTTGACACAGACCAGGCTTCAGCACTTAGTAACTCATTTTAACCTATGGTGCTGCAGCTACATGCCTGTTTAACAGGCAAGTAGTTAGATTAGAGCTGAAGTCAGATTTCCATCTGCAATGTGAAAATACTTCAACTTTCACCTCAGATTCAGTCCTGTCTAGACATTTCTAATAGATCAACTGTTTGATGACAGCTGGGCCCCACACACTTTTTTTCACAATGTTTTTAATGGCAGTGCGGGTGTACACTTGTCTGCGTTTCATGCTCTTCCCTTCTCACCTGTGTGCTAGCCTGCCAGAACTGTTCATCTGGTGACATGAACCTGAGAACAACTGGGATCTCTTGTCATTATGTGTCATGCAAGTTTTTTTTCAGCCAGGGCTGAAACCAAGAGAGAAACTTCAGGATATGTCAAGAACTTTGAGGAGATGTTTTGATGAAATTGTACACAGATAAGCAAGTCTACAATATCATGCTTCCAGTTTCCAGTGCAGCAACCTCATGAACCACCAATAGAGGCAGATCTGGTCTGCATCACGATTAAAAAGCCACTTTTTTTTTTTTTTTTTTTTTTTTTTTTCCCAGAAGAGATAGATGCAGAGAAAGACTCATCACAAGCAGAAAACTGCATTTGCTTCCACCTCATCATTGTCACGACTGCACTTATCATTTTTTATCCCATCACATATACTGGGTAGCATAGGCACTTCACTGTCTTCTCATGTTTCATTCTTTTTATTATTTCTAGAATAACTTCCTTGGGTTCTTCTCCTCCCTACAACCAGAAGCACTCTGCTCCCATTGCCTTATTTTTGAATTCACCTTTGCCTTCACTTCTTTTCCACTATCAGAGTTACTATACAGCCAAGCTCAAGTGTCAAATGAAAGAATAAAGTGCATTGGGAAAAAAATTTAAAGGACGTTTTAAAGGAAGTTTTCTAACATTTTACTGTAAGAATTAATTACATCTTATCCATTATTTTCAAAACTCAGATTTATTTCAGGAGAAGATCTTAGGAAAGGGAGACAGGTCAAGTTATAACTTCTAAATACTATGAACTAGCTATCGTGATTAGCAATAATGTGTAGCAATAAACAATGTGCAATACCACCAAAACTACAGCTACTATCAGAAAAGAAATGAAGAAATTATTAACACTAAGAATTCCCAACAGTTTCATGACAATGACAATGGCTATCAAGCCTGAAGAAAAATGTAGTTTAAATAAAACAAAGTCTTTCTAAGTTTTCTGTGTTGTATGATTGTGCTATTTAATAAACCAATTGATTTAATACATGAGAAATTATCAGCGATTCAGTCAAGCTACAGTTGCTATCTATTTAGAGCTGGAACATCTATTCACTGCAAAATGCACAGCTCATTGCCTGACAGAATCAGGAACACAACTTACTCCTGAGCATGTGACTATTCACAGTAAAGGCAATATCCTTTGGCTTAACTGCTCTGAGCTCATGCTTAACTGCCTATTTTGACTGGGGCTTATATTATTCCATTTCAACTTCACTGAAGTTTCAATGATCGAGTAGTCCTGTAGCTGCTTTTTGAACTGTATTATTTTAAAACACAACAAGACTGCTGAAGTAGGCAGGAAATAAGGGAGAGGGAGTGCAAATTTATTATGTAGATGGTTATGAGTTGCAACACTTGAAGAATTAATAGTGCATCTACATAACACAAACGTAGTTTACACTGTAGCAGTTCACCAGTGACCACAAGATGTATTCAGTCTGCAGAACTCCTTATTGACCTTTTGTACCTGTTGGGTGACTGACTTGGTGCAGCAGGTGAGCAGGGAGACGATGGCCCGGATCGAAAGTTCTCATGACAGCCTGCCCTAAAGCAAAGGAGAGAAAATGTATTGCTACAACTGAAAAACAAGCGAAATTTGAGGTTTTGCACTGAGAAATTCTTGTGAATGGATCTCAGAATTCCCAGCTCCAAAGATTTTGTTTAAGGAAAACAAGGTATAAATTTGCTGTCCCCTGCTGTTTTGATACAATGAAAAACAGCACACATGTTTTGGTTCAGCACTTCAATTTGCTTACTATTGCTCACAAGGTATTCATCCACGTGTTGACTCCTATCCACCTAACACGACACACCTCACACCTTGATGATGGAGGCTCAAACCAACAGGATGTGTACGGAGGCACACTGGTAGAATGAATGTGGGGTCACTGACAGAGGGTCTGTGCCCTTCACTGAGTGAAAATAATGCAATCAGCACTGCAAAGTGACTTTCAATCTGCACCCATTCTATCTTGCAAGAATTTGTTGAGAAAAGTCACGTGTGTTTTCTGTTATCAGAAACCACAGAATTTATTCAAACTCTCACTGCTTAAAGCTGTTTACAGATTAAAGAACTAAAGATAATTTTCAAATATTAGGCAAATATATACCTTGTTTAGTGAAAGAACTGGCATTCCCTTTCAGTAAGACTTACACACACACACACACACAAAAACCAGAAAGAAAAGTATCAGAGAAGGAAAAAACCTCATCAACCAAAATTTGCAGGAGAAAGAAAATACTACTCTCTACATGTCTCCTTTTAAATGTCATAATCCTTGAAGAACTGGAATGAAACAATCTTTGAGTGTTTAGAAGCTGGGGAAGAAGCCCTCAGATACTGACTTCAATGAGGCAGATTTTATTGAGCCAACTAAACCTACAGAGAATGCTGAGCAAGAATATGGAGGAGAGCCAGAACGACTCCTCACACTCTACAATAACCTTTTTTTTTATATCCTCACCTCCTCCCTTCCCCTGTGGAGCTCGGCTGCTGCCCCAGAAGCGGTCTCTGGCGGGTGTCCTCTGCGCGCTGCGGGGACTGCTTCGTCAGCAGCTGCTGGTTCCATGGGACATCTGAAATGGGAGGTGGGGACATCTCAGTGCTGAACAAAGTGCTTTTGTCAGTGCTGATCAACCAGTACAACTCGTGGGTGCACCATAAAGCATGTGAGAGGTAAAGTCGGAACGAGGTGAAGACAACCATCCTGACTCTTGTAAGAAAGCACCAGGAGCTTTCAGTTACACGCTCACATTCCCAAACCTCCCCTCAGATGACCCACACCTCTTCGAAAGCACTGCTGTTTCTATTACTTCACTTAAGTTACTTATGTTTCAGGTGGGTGCATAAGGCTCAGTGACAACAGCAACACGCAATGAACCGTAGTGCACAGGCAGCTGAGCATCCCGCCTGTGAGATGAGCATGCCATGCAGATCCTTCCTGACCAATTTTGTGGCTCACTGGTCAGGAAGGGCCTTACCTTTCAAAGCACCAACCAGCTGGGTTAGAGGAGAAGAAAAGCTGTACTGGGGCCGATGAAAGGCCCATTACCTACTTTTGATATCAATGTCAAAAAAGTCCTAATCCTGATTGTTTAATATCTTAAGGAGAGAACAAGATGTGATGTGTCAAGGGGAAAGAAAGGAGCTATCAGAATACTAATGGTGGAACAAGCTGTGGAAGAGAACCTAGAAAAAGCCTTATTAGCAGATGTTAAGCTGTCAAATCTTTGGATTTTGCTTAATCACAACTACAAAACCACAAGGATGGATTGCTGGGCAGCATCTTCTGTTTTCTTTACTTAAGCAACGTTTACCAGAGCACTAAGAACACAATAAAGTTGCAACAAGGTGAGTAAACCTGTTAAATTTAATAAACTGAATTTGCATTTGGAACAAGTAATAATATAGAAATCTTTCCTATCCATAGACAGTTTATTTCCTAGCATCATCATCAATTTTTATGCCAAACTGGAAACAAAGACCTAAAAACTTGCTTTCAAAATCTACATTTGCTTCCTATACTTTGTCCTACTCATTTTCTCTTCACAGTTCACTTTTTCCCTTTTTTGAGGGTGACCCTGTTGACAATAAGACCTTGGAGAAATTCCTTCACTTCCAAACCAGCAATATCTCTGGGTGTTCAAAAAAGATGTATTAAGATAAATTCTGTGTATGTCTTTGATTACATAACAGATGGAAAATAACTCCAAATGAAATTATTGAAAATGAGATTTCTACCTACAGTCAAAGCATTAATTGCTGATGTAAATAAGATTTTAAATTTCACCTCAACACACTTATCTTTACAGAAAACAACTCTTGAATCCAAGATATTCATTTTGAGGAAATAACTGTACTGCAATTTCTGAATTTCTCTGAGTTAGTTTGCTAACCCCTATAAATACCCACAAGATTCCTATTTGGAGAAGAATACATGCACATGTCTCTCACCCTGAGTCAATGGCAGATTCAACCGGGCAGGCGAGCAGCGCTCCATCACCGGCACCTGGTGCTCCTGGTCACCTCCTTTCAAGATACCCATCTCTGGGTGTCCTGGCAGCACCTTATTTCCACTGCTAAGAAAAGTATATAGATGTATAGATGAAGCAACAAAAAAAATCCAGCAACGGGATAATGGTAAAATCAGACTTTTGAATTTAAGTCTATTACATGCACAGTTTTTGTTTCTGGGTCAGCGCTGACAAACCAATGGGTAACAGTCAGGAGTCAGTTTGAGTCTAAACACATCATGTGCCCTTCCTCCCTCATACATTGACACTTACATGCACTAGAAATCACTTTGGATTTGTGGAAAATGGCTTATTTGACACAGAAACAGCTTTTCTCAGTGTTAATTATATGCTATTCAGCATCACCAGATGCCTCTCTTGTAAAAGCTGTGTTTACGAGTTTGATGAAGACCAGGACTTTGAACACCATCTAGCAAGTCTGAATATGGCACTTCCAAGGTAACCAGGTAATCTCAGAAAGATTCTGAGCGAAAATAGCTACTGCTTCTCCATTCATCCAAATGGCTTGTGAAATTCACATGTGAAGTATAGTGCAGTGCCATACACAGATGTCTGTGCTACCTAAGCTGTAAGATCTAATTCTGATCTGGATGATGTGACAACCTCTCAACAAAGCAGTGTGCTGAGACAGTGAGGTTTCTGATACTAGCACTGTGTATGGCCATACATGTGTAAGTCTGATCAGGCTGTATTACACCTAACATCAAGCCAAAGAGGTCAGAGGCTCCAGCATCAATCATGGTCAAATGTGATGTCCCAGAACTCTACAGAACAGAAAGCTCCATGAGGTCCATACCTCCTCTTTTCTTGCCAGCGTTCATTTTCCTTGTTTTTCAGAGATGGCATACTGTCCTGTTCCCAAAGCAGCTTTTTCTGCCTTGTAACTTCTTTTGGTTTGCCTTCCTCTGGAGAGCCATTTGAATCACTTGCGTTCTAGAAAACAGCAGGAGAGGGAACAAGGAGCCTCCCTTGAACTCAGCATTAGCACACATATGAGAACAGCATAGGCTGCACCTAGGTATATTGTGTAGCATTGTAAATAACAAATAAGCTAAAATCATAAAATAATTATATTAAATGGAATGTGAAACAAAAAGTTAAATATATTGACCAAGTATGAGACAGCACTCAAGATAACCAAGTAAAATTCCCATCTGGCAGAAAAGCTTGAATGAATTTGAGAAGCTATACAGACCTTACTTTAGAAGATCTTTACAATGTGCCTCAGCCCATGATCATGGAAATTCTGCAGCCTGGGGCAGAACATTGCTCACATGCTCTGGGCATCCTCAAATGGAAACACCAGTACTACTTTCAAAGTACTACTACCACAGCAGATGATACCTGAGCAGAGGAGCCTGTGTGAACCACAGCATGAGATGCTTCACTTCTGAGTGCAAGCACTGCCTGGAACCTGGTGTAAGTCCACGCAGGAAGTTACCACCATATACAGCCGTATGGAAAAAGTGCCATGGCTGACTGTGCTCAGGGATGAGTGATAAAAGGAGGCAGGGAGGGTGAAAGAAGAGGCAAATGATACATAACAGGATGCCTAATCCTGGAGCTGAATGGAAAATACAGATGACTTATTGGGTGTGGGTGTGTTTGGCAGGAAAAAATTAAGTCAGGGAATCCTGCCTTTATTCTACTGATATCATCTGAGGTGCCATTCTCTGTTCTATAGCCAACAATTATATGCTAGATACATCAAGTTAAACATTCTGTATGGCAGAATCCATAAGAGAATCAGAGTGAACATTCCTCCATTTGTTTTGCTGCTTTCTAGAAAGGATGATCAGTGAGAAGAGGAGGAAAAGTGAGAAAGCTGGATTCAATCTCAACTTAGATGTCCTTAAAGCACTGTCTTACAATCATGATTTTGGATGCAGGGAAACAACTTCAGATTTTGTTGGCTTTGAGAAGGTAAGTAAAATAAACTGAACAGGTGACTTTTTTCACGGCACCAGTCAAAGAAGAGAAGCAGCTGCAAAAGAAAGAAAGTTTCACCCTCTACTCTCGTAAAAAATGGGACTACGGCAGTTGGCTTGGGAATTTAGTTCTTCGCTTGTAAAAGTACGCAAGCTACAGTGCTCTGAGGTATCACCAGCTATGGAAAGGATCCAGAAAATACTCTTACTCTCATTGTTGCCAGACTTTGTTAGCCTTTAGCAAAGATTGAAACTCTGCACTCAAGATGGCTTTGACTTTCTTGCCTTGTGACTCCACAAGAAACTCACCGCTGTTTTATTTACTTCAGTGGTAGAGGAGGAAGAGGAGAGGAGTTCTGCCGAATTTGAAGAAACAATGAATGGAACTACAGTATCCTCAATTATCTTACGTTCCTAAGAAAAAAAGAGAACCAGAAGAGAACAAGACTTAAAAAAAAATCAACAAACAAACAAAAAAAAACAACACCAAATAAGCAGAACATCACCTATTTATATATATATATGTATATATATAAAGTAGAAGCATTAAGTTTTGAATACATTTTTGTATTTAAATGGCTAGGTAAGGGCTTGTGTTAACAAGAATAATGGTAATAACTCAATTTTTAATTTACTTCAATGTTTTGTATTCTTTTTCCTTTCATCTTACTGCTTTGAAATGGGATGTCCAAAACTAGCCAGAATATTCCAGTTGGGATGACACCACTGTTTGTCACAACATCAGTCAATGAAATTACATACAAAAAATGAAATTACATTTGGAACATAAGAAATGTATTCCAGAACTTGAAAAAATTACCTCTTGTTAAGACACAAGTATGACCCTCAAGCACAGATGATAATCAATCACACATGAATTTGTGTAATGCACAATTAGACAGACAACATTGATGTTTTCCAATTTCCTGCAATAACGACCTACATATAACAGAATAAACATTTTTTTGTTGATATTGTTATTACTCTACAGCTGCAAGCTTTGAACAGTTTCTGCAATTTTTTTTTTTTTTAATTTTGTGAAACAAGGCTGATTAACTGCACATCTACATGATGATGCCCAAGGCAGACAACTTCACCTGGAATTCCACCAAGATACCAAGTATACGCCAAAGCACAAAGGGCTCTTTCTGGAGGAAAGCCTGAACACGCCCAAAAACAACCCTTATGACTCACCAGACTTGCACAGCAATCAGGCACCTCCACCTATGCAGAGATTCTGAGGATACTTATCTAAATATTCGAATAGTTTTCCTCAGCGCCTATGGTAGTGTTTAAAAGAAATAATTCTCCTGAGAATCCAAACTTGAAAAGACTTTTTGTTTATTAACTTAGTATGGGATTTTTTTTTTTTTTTTAGTTCATAACTGAGTGCATTTAAATACAAGAAAGTCAATAAATAACCTCCTCCTTTCAGCTTTATACCTCCTCATAGTATCTACGCTCCTCCTCTTCAACTTCTCTCTGTGCCTTTTCCCATTCCTCCTTCAGTTTGTCTTGCTCCTTCTGATACTTCTCCTGTCAGTGGAGACAAATAGAGGTGAGTACAAAGCATTCTGTATTAGAAATAAATTCTGTAGCACCTCCATAGTAAAAATAAGCCTGTTAAGAATGGCTTTATAAGAAACATGGTGAAATACAAATGTGAAGATTAGATACATCCAGGGGTCTCAAAAGTTTCCTTTCTTCTTCCTACTAATTTCTAACTCTTACAGTTAATAAAAGGAACCACAAGAAATTTGATTTGTTAGACATTTTTATGCACTTTGCCGGAAATGAAATTTATTCTAAACAATCTCAATAATTCCTTGTTTGTTGTAAAGTTTTAAGAGTTGCAAAAAGCTACCACACATCCCAAAGCACTTAAGCATGCATTTTGCATTAACAATTTCAGCAAAGTAGCGTAGAAACAAACAGGTTTTACAGATGCTGGTATTGGCAATACTGTAAGAGAGATGCCAGTACAATTTAGTGAATGATGAAGGTGTGCACAAGTTTAAAAGATCTATAAACAGTGTGTAAAGCTTTGAAGAAGGTAAACTCATAATTGCTAAGCAATTCTTTTTCCTCCTTGATGGGATCATTTCTTGAGAGTAGTTTTCACACAGCTTTATGTGAAGATATTGCACAAGGAGATCTTAAAAGAGATTTTAAAGACAGGGAAACTCATGTTCTCAGGTACACTGCATTCCCCCAGCTAAGACACAAAACCAGATTTTTTTTACTGTATACTCTACCCCAGGCAAAAACAGTGATTGTTGAGAATGAGTTTCTTCCACTCACAAAACCAAACCAAACCAAACAAAAAACACAAAAAACCCACTACCTCTGTGTACAAATTTTGTTTGATGTTCTCCAAGAAGAACATGTAAACGAAGCAAAAGTTTACAAGAAGCTAATTAAATTACCATTTTAAAGAAGAACTGTGTAAGAGTCAAGGTTAATAAAATATCAGTGTCATGAAAGAGGCTCAAAGTAATTAACAGTTTGCACTGAAGGTAATTTAAATATAGTGGCAAATTAACACTTGGCTGAACTCTGCAGTGGAACCCAGAACTAAGACCTTCCAGATTCCCTGGGGTGGGAGAGGGAGAATGCCCAAACCACAGAGAGTGCATGGCTCATTTACCTGCCAAAGAACTCACTTACCTATCCACAGGAGTGCTGATAAATACTGCTGGCCATGATACTGCCAGATTCATTAAGGTGTGATCTACGTTTTGATACTGAAAAGTTCAGCCAATCTTACCAATGCTTCAAGCATGGAAGACATGACATGAAACACTCAACTTTTATGCAAAGGAACAATGCAGCTGGAAAGAGCCGAGCCATGGAGTGGAAGAAAAGGATCGCGTTCCTTACCTGAAGCAGGCGTTCTTGCTCGTGCTGCCACCTCTCCTGCCGCTTCCGCTCTTCTTCTGGGTCCCAGGACCAGAAATTGAAACGCTGATGTGAAGGAAAAGCAAGCTGTTAGACTTCAACACTTCACAAGGCTACCACTTCCCTAGTCTGTCTCTGACAGTAATGCTAGAATGGCAAATTCTGAACTAGATAATGGTTCTCTTGGTGAGCAGACAATATTCTGAGCTTCACTGACACTTGGGATTGCCTGCAGGTATCTAAGTGAGACAATAACCATTTGGTTTGCAAAGAAAGGCTTGGGAAACTTCAGCTGGGGGGGAGAAAGAAAAAGAACTGAAAGAAAGCTCTAAGCAGCGCTGGACAGAGATGCCTGCAGGTACCCAAATTTAAGAAAAACTTCTGTTTTTTTCCTCTGCAATCTTCTGTTCGACATGTAAAGCAATTTGTGAAGGTAAAATACATTCTCTCACTTCATATCTACCAACACAACAGCCTAAGGAATTGCTTTACATTTTTATCCAGGAAAGAAGACTTACATTACAGATTCAGATTACGTCTTGATTTGGGTTCTAATTTTCCTCTCTCATTCTTATCTGGGGATGTTACAAGACAGTTTGGATAAAAACTTCATTTTTATTAAATACATATCTCTAAACCAAAACTACAATGCAAAAAACAAAGTACTTACATTTGATTTGTCACTGTTGCCAGAATCAGCTATTAAAAAAAAAAAGAAAAAAAGGAAAAAAGAAAAGATAAAACACCGCAAAAGAACCCAAAGAGCTTAGTCTGCAATTAATACTACGTTGTATCTGTACAAAAAAGCTTCATGTTAGTTTCCTACTTGCTCCCGCAACCAAATGCAAAGATGAACTGCAAGCAAACAAACCAGAAAAATAGATCATGCCCAACACCAACAAAACTACTTCTGATTGGGATACAGAAGAGCATGATTGTAACTAACATCAGATGCTACTGTAAAACTAGCTACTGCCATCTACTTCTGGCCACAGCGTTAGCAGGGTCTGGACACTGAGTGCTACCTGCTTTGATCTACTTTTCCCTTTCAGGCTCTGTGCAAGAAAGGAAAAAGCACAGCAAAGCGACAAGGATGGAACTATACTATTCAAGAGCCACAGTTACGAAGAGGACCATTGCCATTTTCTATTGAGACATCTTTGGATCAGGTTGATTTGAAGAAATTGAGGAAGAAATATTTACAGGTAAGTGATTCCATTTGGGTGCTAAAGCCAGAGCACCACAGCAATGCGTAACCCAACAGCTCTTTGTCAACTGTGCAACAGGAATAGACGTTTTCTACGAAGGTGAGAGGAAGGACGAGTCCCCGTGACTGTCGGCTCTCGCCCACCCCACGGCTCAGGATGCCTCGCACTGGAGGCGGTGGAGGGGTGAAGCTGCTCTGCCCTTCAAATCACGTTTACCTGGCTGTGAGAAAAACCGGGAGCGCCGCCAGTCATTCCGCACCCTGAGCGGAACTGTGACCCCGCGGGGCGGCTCTGCGGGAACGGCACAGGGTCAGAACAAGAAACAGTGTGGTCAACAGGCGAGATGGGCCATCAGACCCACCAGCAGGCTTCTTACTGCAATAGCTTTGTAAAAAGTGGCCCAACACTGCTAGTTCTTGAAGGACTTGTAGATCTCATGGACAGCACAGATTTAAATGCTACTTTTGCAATATGGCCCCTAACCCTATATCATACAATCACAGAACAGCTTGGGCTGGAAGGGACGTTAAAGATCATCTAGTTCCAACCCACAATATGAGAGCTCTAGCAATAGTGCTAATTCATTCTTGCATTCATTACTATTGGAGATGTATATTTTAAAGGATCATGGAATCTTATTTGCAATATACATGCTGTGAACACTAGAGAGCAGCCAAGTGTTTCAGCATCACTCAGATCATGCCAGGGAGGCCTACAGTCTGCTATCCAGTATTTGAATTGATTTGTGCTTGAAACGAAACAGTATTACCTTTAGTTATTCCAATCGTGAAAGCACTCTGATAATCATTATATTACCTCTACATACAAAGACAACCTCAGATAATTACTCCCTCCCTCTTTCATGATCCCCACATGTCTGCATCTCTAAAATCAAGATGAAATAAAACTACTAAACATTACCAATCTCAAGCGAAACTTTGTCAGGAAGGCAAAAGAAAAAGTTCTGCTTTGCAGGAACTTGTGATACACACAGATCAAATTGAGAGGTATGGCTAGATACAAGCATTGTTTATTGTCACGGAATTAACTAGATCAGTTTATGCCCGTGACAGGGGGCAGTAGGCCCCTGCCTTCCCCACCCCCC